TTACTGTACGCACCCAGTTAAATTAGTTAGTTAGTTAGCTGCATCGTAAATCAATTTATCTTTCTTATTAAGATAAGAGTTCATAAGAGTAGTAAGAGCACACACAATATACAAAAAAGTAGTAGCTGTATTACTTGAATATCTGTACAAGCTTCGATACCAGTCTTTCAAAATATAAATATATATATATTTATTAGTAGTGCAGAGTTATACAGTGGGGCAAAAAAGTATTTAGTCAGCCACCGATTGTGCAAGTTCTCCCACTTAAAATAATGACAGGTCTGCAATTTTCATCATAGGTAAACTTCAACTGTGAGAGACAGAATGTGCAAAATAATCCAGGAGTTCACATTGTAGGATTTTAAAAGAATTTATTTGTAAATTATGGTGGAAAATAAAGTATTTGGTCACTTCAAACAAGGAAGCTCTCTGGCTCTCACAGACCTGTAACTTCTTTAAGAAGCTCTTCTGTCCTCCACCTGTTACCTGTATTAATGGCACCTTTTTGAACTGGTTATCTGTATAAAAGACACCTGTCCACAGCCTCAAACAGTCAGACTCCAAACTCCACTATGGCCAAGACCAAAGAGCTGTCGAAGGACACCAGGAAAATAATTGTAGACCTGCACCAGACTGGGAAGAGTGAATCTACAATAGGCAAGCAGCTTGGTGTGAACAAATCAACTGTGGAAGCAATTATCAGAAAATGGAAGACATACAAGACCACTGATAAGCTCCCTCGATCGCAAGATCTCATCCCGAGGGGTCAAAATGATCACGAGAACGGTGATCAAAAATCCCAGAACCACACAAGGGGACCTGGTGAATGACCTGCAGAGAGCTGGGACCAAAGTAACAAAGGTTACCATCAGTAAAACACTACGACGACAGGGAATCAAATCCTGCAGTGCCAGACGTGTCCCCCTGCTGAAGCCAGTGCATGTCCAGGCCCGTCTGAAGTTTGCCAGAGAGCACATGGATGATACAGCAGAGGATTGGGAGAATGTCATGTGGTCAGATGAAACCAAAGTAGGACTGTTTGGTATAAACTCAACTCAATACTGAGTTGCATCCCAAGAACACCATACCTACTGTGAAGCATGGGGGTGGAAACGTCATGCTTTGGGGCTGTTTTTCTGCTAAGGGGACAGGGCGACTGATCCGTGTTAAGGAAAGAATGAATGGTGTAATGTGAGATTTTGAGCCAAAACCTCCTTCCATCAGTGAGAGCTTTGAAGATGAAACGTGGCTGGGTCTTCCAGCATGACAATGATCCCAAACACCGCCCGGGCAACGAAGGAGTGGCTCTGTAAGAAGCATTTGAAAGTCCTGGAGTGGCCTAGCCAGTCTCCAGACCTCAAGTCTGTGTTGCTCGGCGACAGCCCCGAAACATGGAGGAATGGGCCAAAATACCAGCTACTGTGTGTGCAAACCTGGTAAAGACCTATAGTAATCGTTTGACCTCTGTTATTGCCAACAAAGGTTATATAAGTATTGAGTTGATTTTTTGTTATTGACCAAATACTTATTTTCCACCATCATTTACAAATAAATTCTTTAAAAATCCTACAATGTGAATTCCTGGATTTTTTTTCACATTTTGTCTCTCACAGTTGAAGTGTACCTATGATGAAAATTACAGACAGTCTTTATTTTAAGAGGGAGAACTTGCACAATCTGTGGCTGACTAAATACTTTTTTGCCCCACTGTATACTGTACATATAGTGCAGGATAATAGGCAGATAAGTAAAGTGACATATTACACAATGTACAGCCGGTTGCCTCGAGCGCTGAATGGAACAGGACATGGCAGTGAAATATTGTGTAAACACACGCCAAGAGGAGGATGCGTGCCGACCTCCCCGTCATGGCAACCCCTCCCTGTCTCTCTGTGGCAGCTGCTCCACTGGGACCTCTCTCCTGCCCTCTCCCTACACCTTCCCCTCTGCTCAGGCCGTTTCCATGAGCGGCTAAAAACAAAAGGAGGCGACTGGGCTAATGCAAAGTGCTGCCTACAGAAGAGCCCGGTCCCAAGTGACGTCGCTAACAAACCCACAGAGGAGCGAAGAACCACGAGCGGAGAAAAAAGCCTTACTGATGTCGCTGACACCAAGACGCCTTTAACAGGATGGACGCCATTTAGGAGCGAGCAGAACGCAGACAGATAGTAGACCTAGTTTTGAATGTTGGAACTAGAAAAGCACAAAGAGATTGATGATTGAAGAGAAAGAAGGGGATAAACACAACACAAGAAATAAGTAAGATTTTTCATGCTAGGGTTTGTCCAGGATTTCAAGAATTGGTCATTTGAATAATTTGCACCAGCCACAGAGAAGGGCAACGTGTGGGTCAAATTTATAGAGCTGCAACTAACGATTATTTTGTAATCGATTAATCTATCGATTATTTTTACGATTAATCGAGTAATCGCTTGGCTGTGAATTGTGTAGAAAAAAATTATGTTTTCATCACAAAAAGCTAAAGTGGAAACACTAGAGGACGTATTGATGGCGTAAACTTAAAGTAAATGTTTGAAACAGGCTCTTTGTGCTAATTCTGCTATCTGATTGGATGAGACAGACAGATATTCATGAAATTATAAAAACAAAGTCGGTTTTAATCAAAAATACTACATTTTCATGTCATTTTTGCTCTGTTTGAGTCCGTGTGAACCAGAAAACGATTAATCGATTACTAAAATAGTTGTCGACTATTTCAATAATCGATTAGTCGTCGATTAGTTGTTTCAGCCCTACAAATTTATAATAACTTCAAAACATTCAGTGCTAAATACTGGTTAATATTTTTTTTTTAAATACATGTGAAGGTACAAAGGGCCATGGCTCGGGCTGGAAATGTTGGACGTGTACCAGGACTTAGACAAGACCAGGACTTGTATAGTTCTTTTAACTTAGAGAATTGATGGTAATATGTCAATATGGCTGCCATGGCATGTTATATCTCATTTTAAAGATTTGTGAGAAAACAATTATTCAATTCTATAACTTCTACCATGACTACAAACTATCCATTTCCATTTGAGTGAAAGTTACCAGCTTTAAGTGGCACTCCCAGAGGTTTCTCACTTTTTCCTACACTGGGTTTTTTCTTTAGTTGTTGCTGATGGAGGCGGGTCTAAAAAGGACAGTGATGATGCAGGACATTTAAGGAGATGTATTAAAATGTATGGAAAATGGTCATCCCGCTCCCTATGGACCAATGGCTCCTATGGGTTTGTTATTATTCAATTCAATGTATTTTTTTATCGCAAAAAAAACAAAAACAAAATCACAACAGTAGTTATCTCGGAGAGAGACTTTACACAACTGTTGAATTTGCCAAAACAGATCAGAAAAACAAACAGTTCAAGAAATGGATCAGTTACAGAACGAGGAGCACACAGCACAAGAAAAGTGAACAATAACTCTATACTAACATAAAATAAAAAGAAGCAAGTATAAAATAATGCATATTCTAGTGCAAGAAATGAATAAGTAGTAGTATGTTATCAGCATGGGGGTATAGACTAAATGACAGTGGACACATGTGGTTCCATATTGCACATTCTGACATCATTTAAATGATTATTGCACAGAAAAGTAAAGTGACAGTGGACTTATGCATTTCCCCAGTCCCAATAACTAAAAAGGCAGAGTTTAAGTGTATGTTTATGGAGTACATTACACCAGCCTCGCTTCACTTTCCCCAACTTGACAGTTCTCAGGGAAGGGGGGATGGGGCCATGCTCACGGCCTTTGTTCGGGCAGGGACCACCACAATCACCCCCCACAAACTTACACTAACCACGGAGGCTATTTCTGTGCCAGTCACTTTATGAGTGTGTGAGATATCAGCAGATTACAGCGAGAAACAGTGATATCAGAGCATTTACGAGCGATGCTAAAGAGTTAGAGACGCTAAGCTAGTTTTTGATAAGAAAGTGAGGTAAGCTAGCCAACTTTGCTGTCGCTGCTAAAGTTGGCTAGAAGTGGCGTTAGCAAGTATTAGCCTAAAATTATTTTGTTTGTTTAAATAAAAAAAAAATAAAAAAAATATTAGTGTTAGTATTAGATAGCAATATGGCCTACGTGCAGGACTCTACAAGGACTCTGATTATTTTGACTATGATGTGACTGTCTCTGTGTGACACGTACGTCTTTCCATGTGTGACGTGACAATGACGATATAAACTGTGTACCGACTCCATTCTGTCTGAGAGAAGGAAGCAAAGGAAACCACTGGAACTTGAGAGAAACTTAAATAAACTTCCAGAGTTTGGCACACCACGATCCGTCTCTGTCTGCTTCATCCCTGACATTAGTCAATAAATGAAAGAGAAATTCAACTTTTCTGTCTTAACAAATTGTATAAACACATGAATAATGCACTAGGACTGAACACGCTGGTATAGTCACTTTTAATTTTATTGTACATAATATATCTCGCACTAAAGAGACTATAATTTGTTTTCTTTTAAATAAAGAGACTATAATTTAAACTTTTAACATGTTTGCACACCCTGAGTGAGTCTATTTATATCAAATTTGACATGTAAAATTCTCCATTGTGAGAGTGATAAAGTTGTATTATATCTTATCTTAACAATGCGTCAAAAACGTCAACATTTCGAACTTTTGTTGCTATGAGACAAGCCAGAATGAGTCCGATTCAAGTTGCCAAATAGGCAACTTCTACGTAAAATGCTAGCTCCATTCACCCCCCCCAACCCCAACTTGAGTAGCAGCTTCTTAATTAGCCTGCTACTGTTAATTGGCTAAGCTATACGTAATGTAATTAGCGTACTTACTTAGCTTAAACGCAATCCGATCAGCATGTAAGGCAACACAAGATACTTTTCTGTCCAGTGGTTGTCCCCAGCTGTGTACAGAACAGCGCTCGCGGGTGAGTTAGCTGGCATGCTAACAAGCTAACTCCACAACACAGTAGACCCCACGCTGTCCACAACAAGCCGCAGGTTTTGCCATTTGCGTGTCATTACCTGTAAATCCCCGGTGTTGGATGATCGCAGTCTCTTTTGCTTTGCGCCCAACCAAGATATGTCTCTGTGTAGAAGTTGACGCCGAGGGGAGGACGCACTACTGCTGCCTTTGATGATGCTGATTATACGGGGAGTTTCATTGAGCGAATGGGTGAGACGGAGCGGGCTGTCCCTCCTCTCTCCGCCCTCTCAAAGGAACCCCCCGATAGAGGATTTATGGCACAGATCAGGCCTCCGAGCTCCACATCAGAGGCAAAGGCACAGTCTCACTTAAAGCGGTACGACAGCGGTATAGAATAACAAGGGCATAGGGGCTGTGGGAGCTACAGTATGTGGAGTTGGACTGGAAATAGGCTGCAGTGGTGTGCACTGAGCCAGCTGGAGGGGCATTATGTATTAAATGCGCTTGTTGGGATGTAAACAGTGATTAATAATTCAAAACAATAGTTTAAGTGTTGTGTGTGTTACCACTTTGTTGCATTTATATATATATATATATATATATATATATATATATATATATATATATATATATATATATATATATATATATATAGACGCGCCCACGCACGAACGTTTATAATGCACATGCACACATATAGACATGCATACACACACACACACAGGCCCAGGATAACAACTGACATCCTATCTATGAACACTACTTCTTATCTCACACTTATCTTTGTATATGTTGTGTGTTCCTTGTGTGCTCTTCCTTACTGTCCTGTTTGTTGCTAAATATATAGATTTTTTTGGACTGTGTTGCGTGCTCCTCATTCCTACTGTAACCTGTGATGCAACACTGAAATTTCCCCCCCTGTGGGACAAGTCAAGGCTCTCTCTCCATCTTAATCTTAATCTCAATCATTGTCCTGTGTTATGGGGAAACATTGGTTTCTTGAGTTTGAAGAAGCAGCCCAGGGTGAGGTCATGCAAAGAGAAAAAGGTTAATGTATTCCTGTTACCTAACTATAAAACCCTCAGAGCGGCTTGAAAAGAGTATACGCTCCTTGATTAGCCCAGAACAAGACACAAAACACATTCTAATCCTGCGCACACTTTGTAATGTAGGTCAGGGACAGATAAGAATAACATGGATTGATGTTTTATGATATAATAAATAAGTTATCTGTAATGAGAGAGTCACATATCTGAGCTATCTCCCAGTTTCTAAAGCAACAATTGTCTTCCTAATAAACCAGTATTACCTATGACGTCATACCTATTATGTTCTGGTTATTGATCTGTTCTCTTCTCATGGTTCACTTGAGGACAATAATAGAACTTTGAGCCAATCAGCGTTTAACAAAAAGACAACGCAACAATTCTTAGGACGCACTGTGCACGGTGCTCATTTTCATGTTTGAATTATGTACAATATTATAATAAGTACTTGTTAGACAAGACAATTTTTGAGACTTTTTAAAGAATTATTAATCCATTTCAAATGTGTTTTTATCTTCCCTCATGTATGTCTCTCTGGTTTGGACCTTTTACTGTACTCTTGTGTCCTAAATAAAGTTTTGAATTGAATTAAAGAATACTTTGTTAGATAATTCTATTTAGTGGCATCTGATCACAAAGTTTGAAGTACATTGAACTTGAATAAAATAAACACACAACTCTGCTCAATGATTTGTCCATATTGATTTATGTTTAACAGAAAGTAAGTTGCTAGCATGAGCTATCGCACCACAGCTACATAGATGCCATTAATGGGATTTTGTGACAATTAAAAACATAGGTTCAAACATAGGGTTCAAACAAGGTCAGAGGGTAATTCTGGACTCAGACTTAAATTTTAATAGCCACATCAAATCAGTAACATCAGCAGCTCTTTACCATCTAAAAAACATTGCCAGGATCAAAAACATAGTGTCTAAAGCAGACTTGGAGATTCTTATCCATGCATTTGTCTCCAGTAGGTTAGACTACTGCAATGGCCTGCTCACAGGTCTGTCCAAACAGGCTGTAAAACAGCTGCAGTACATTCAAAATGCAGCAGCTCGAGTCCTGACTAGAACCAGGAAGTACGACCACATTAGTCCTGACTAGAACCAGGAAGTACGACCATATTAGTCCAGTTCTCAGGTCTCTGCACTGGCTTCCTGTGGCTCAGAGAATAGACTTTAAAACAGCTCTGCTTGTGTACAAGTCTCTCCATGGCCTTGCACCAAAATATATTAGTGACATGTTAGTCCCATATGAACCAGCCCGGACTCTGAGGAGCACAGGGACTGGACTCTGAGGAGCACAGGGACTGGACTCCTGTTAGTGCCCACGGTCAGAACTAAACATGGGGAGGCTGCTTTTCAGATTCATGCTGCTAAAATCTGGAACAATCTTCCTGGAGATGTGAGACAGGCCTCCTCTCTGACAATGTTTAAAACCAGGTTAAAAACAGTTCTGTTTATCTGTGCATACAACTGGGGGATTTTATATTTTTATCTTTCTTTTTAATGTACTGTGATTATTTAGGATTTTAATGCTTTCTTGTTTTGTTCAGCACTTTGAGTTGCCTTGTGTATGAATTGTGCTATATAAAAAAACTTGCCTTGCCTTGCCTAGGTTTGTCACTACAGAAGTTCATATCACTTCTCAAAACCCACCTGTCTCAGCTCGCCTTTCCTTAATTTTGTTTATGTGTATTTTATAGCATCTTTGAGTGTCTAAAAAAAGCGCTATGTAAGTTTGATATTGTTATTATTAATCAGAATCAAAATTATTCATATTGCCAGAAATTTTCTTTGGCTCAAGGTGCAATCAAGTAGAGAGAAAATAGGTAAAGGCAAAATCTTGATAAGATGTTTTAAAACTATTACTATTGAGTGTCATGAAATCTCCAAACTCTTTACAAGCGCACTACTTACATTCAATGGACATTTGGTAGAGCTGAAGTCGGCTGGATGACACTGCGAGCTTGGTTTTATTTATTTCAAAGACTGTGTTAGTGAGGCAGAGGACCGCATAACATGACACAGAGGGCCGCATTTTGCCTGCGGGCCATAGTTTGGTCATGTCTGATATTGAGAGTCAAAGTCACCCAAACCAAGCGAAAAATATCAGGAAATTTAAAAGTGTTTCTTGTGGATTTTTTTTACAAGCTGTCAGTAGATATGAACATTTTTTACAAGGAAACCCATTTCGCCGCTGTGGGACGAGTAAAGTATCTCTCAATCTTGGCCTGATGTGTAATGACTGTCATTTCCTTTCATTATTTATTTGACTGGCACAGGACGGATCAGTGAACATATATAGATGGACTTATTATAGACGCCAGATTGTAGCTAAAGGATCATTTTCAGCTGTAGTCCCAGGGGCAGGGGTCGCAAGGGATTATACAGTCTATACATAGAATATAGTCTAAGATAAGAGAACCTTCATTAATCCCACAGTGGGGACATTTCAGTGTTGCAGCGCACTCACAGGAAAGTTTTAAGAGCACACAAGGAGCACTCTAAAGACACAGAGATACTGTATGTAGCTGTGGATGCTTCTTAATAAGAGCAATACATACATGAGTACATTGCCCCTTATGGACCAATGGCTCTGTGTGTTTGTTATGATCGGATTCCGTGTTGGATTCTCTAATCTGTGTTGGTGAATCGACAACTTTGCAAAGCCCTCCGAACTACTGTGGTGATTCAGGGCCATACAAAAAGACATTGAATTGAATATCAATACCAATATATGTAGATATACTTTTACATATAGATAGCTAGATAGATAGATTGATACTTCTCCCCGTAGGAGAAATTCAGGTGTCCAGTGGCAGCAAAAAAATAACAAAAATACATCAAATATATATACAAATAAATAAAATAAAATCATAAATAAAATATTAATACATAAGATTAGATACCATCCATCCATCCATCCATTTTCTTCCCCTGAATCCATTTCTGGGTCGGGGGGGTGGCCAGAGATGCCACTCAGTTCACAGAGCACCAGCCCCTCACTGATCCTCCTGCAGGTGGTGAGTCCACAGGAGCTGAGATCTTTCAGTGGGAGTTTCAGGCAAAGTGGGATTAAGTGTCTTGCCCAAGGACACAACGACAGCAGTCATCAGTGGGAGTCGTGAAGTAGGTCTTACGGTGGGCTCGAACCCACGACCTTCAGGCTCAAAGGTCAATGCTCTACCAACTGAGCTACTGTCGCTCCAAGATTAGATACATAAAATAAATAAAATAAAATAATAAAATATCTATATGTATAAAGTAGGGCTGTCAAACGATTAATTTTTTTTAGTTGATTAATCGCATAGTAATGATGAGTTAACTCACAATTAATCACATTTTTAACAGTCTATTTCAAATCCACTCCAATTGAAGTTAAATGAGATTTTCAAATGTAATGAAACATTGTTATTCATACCAAATGTACTTAAATCTGTTTGACTTGCTCACAACCTTCTACTTTTGGGTACAACCAACAAGAGCTGTTAATGAAAGGAAAAATGTAGGTACCCCAGCTTTAATTTTGCGAGTTTGGTTGCATTTCAGCGTGTCTCCTCCTCTCCTCCATCATCAGAGAACATCAGAGAATGGCCCCTGTGCCATTGTTACCGCTGTCACCATCACACACGCACGTGTCCGCGGCATTCTGAGTGATATTATTATAAATGGGCGGGTCATTCGGACATGCGATTGACTGCCAGCCTATTTCAGAACAGGTACCCACAGAATATTGTGTACAATGACTATCTGAAATTCAAAACCAGATTCTGAAAGAATGGACTGTCTACTTTCATCAGCAAAAATAATTTTGTTTCTAGCTTGTTTCGTTCCCCTGTAATCCCCAGTCGAGTAGAGGTAAGTTTTATTGAAATCACCAGAAAGTGCATCTAGCTGTTTTCAACCCATTCATAGAGCAATGCTGCCATCTGCTGGCTCGATAAAATATTGCCTCAAGCCTTACATATTTGATACAACAGACATCTGGGAACGTGAAAATAGCGGGAAACGCAATTGACGTGCTAACACGTCAATGGCAGTTAATGCGTTAATTATTTTTTAACGCGTTAATGAAAACGGTAATTAACGTGAATTAACGCGATAATTTTGACAGCCCTAGTATAAAGATGCATTATATACTGTACATTCAGGGGACATTCTGAAGAGTCAGTATTTACTATTTACAGGTGAGACAACGGCTGTATCCGAATGTCCACACTATACCCTATATAGTGCACTATATAGTGGTCACGCCATTTTGTAGGGGTGTCCGAATGTCCAGAGAGAAAAAGTAGTGCACTGGAATTTTCCCACAATGCATCTCGAAAATGTAGTGAACAGCAGTGGTCACTATACGGAAGTAAAATGGCGGAGGCAGCGAGAGACGTGTTGGAACAGGAGCGGGACATGAGCTATAAATGTGAGTTTTTGATCATCATAAATATGGAAATGTGTAAACCGTGATATATTGTTGACGATAAGCTGCCAAAATACACATTTGAAGTCAGAATACCATTGCCTTTTATTGCGAAACAACGTACCAATGTTATGCCGCGAAAGTGTTAGCATTTTCGCATATCATAACATTAACATCTAAAGCGAACGCTACAGAAACGGGTCACTGGTGGTCAGTCATTAATGTTATTAAAGCACTTGTGTTATATGTATAGCATTTATTGTGTGTTTAATGTTTTTTAAAGGGACAGACACTGATGTGGAGAGACTCATCTGACTGCGGGTGAAAAATTTGCATCGGCGGCTGGATGGGAGTATGACCATTATGAATAAATACTTATTCAAAAAACGTCTACTCATATTCAAACGTTTTTATGTATCGTTACTTTAGGGCAGTGATAAAGGAAATGGGGCTGAGCCGCCTGATCATCCCTGCCAGAGCGGCCAAGAAGTGGGAGAACCTGAAAAAGACCTACAAGGTTTGTTTCTTTGAAGCTAATTTGTGAAGCATTTATTATACAAAACTGTTTTAAGGAGCTCAGACAGCCACGCACAGGGACAGGGACAGAAGGAGGGGAGCCCATCGCCATATCTTGGAAGTGGTACTCCCTCATGGATGAGGCAGCAGGCCATCTGTGCAGCCTCCCTGCCTGATTGCCTCATCCATGGGGGAGGGTGTTTCCACAAGGAGAGGGGAAGAAGAGAGGAAGAGAGGGGGGAGAGACTGTTGAGTTTGTTGGAGAGAATTGTTGAGAAGTTGTAAATAGTAGATAAAAATGTATTTTGATAAGTGTAGTTTGAACTATATGCATATCGACATACAATGATGAACACTGTGAGATTTCATAACACTTTGAAGCAACTTTTGTTAAAGTTAAACTCATCATTCTATCAATGTGCAGAAGCCTGTACTTTTCCCTTGTTTTGTCTATCTGAAGGCCAAGCTACATGGCACCGTGGCAGCTGCTGATTGGAGGTCTCCATGCCTCCGCTCTGTATAATACACTTGCATTCTCTTGTATCTGTGATCGTGTGTTTTGTTTGTGCTGTCTCTACCATCGACAATAAAACATGTCTTCTGTCGGAATTTAAGACACGATCCCAGACTATGTCATCTTCTTCAGGTGGTGGAAGGATGCGGGCATTGTCTGTAACATCTAGAGAACAGAAGACTTTTTTTTTTTACACAAAAAGTGTTTTTTTTTAAGCCAAAACTGAGAAACCTCAAGAGAAACCATACATCTGGACCAGCACACTTGGACTATCTGCACAGCCCCTGATTCCATCAGGCCTGATGTGAGCTGCTGAGACATGGACAATACCAGCGTCCTCTTTTGCAAGGACATAATTTGGAACAATTGGATTTCTGAATTTGGACATAATTTGGACTGAATTGGATTTCTGAATCTGGACACTAAAGCAGAAACGTGTGATTGAAAGACACGTCACAGAAGAATTCATGGCTCGACACAAATGCAGCCTGAAGAAACCAACACGGAGAAGTGGGAGAGACTGTTTTCAAAGCAATATCTGGAACCACCATCGACTGATGAAGTTTGGTATTTTACTGAAGATTGTTGACAAGTTTTATGAAAGATCTGAACATGTTTTATGAGTTTTTGAAGTATTCCGAGTTCTGAGTTTTTTGAGGTACCGAGTGAAGTACCAAGTTTATGAGTTTTTGAAGTATTGAGTTATGATGTTATGTTGCTGTTTATCGATCCTGATGGTCACACGTGAATGTATGACCAGAGGGGGGAATGTGAGATTTCATAACACTTTGAAGCAACTTTTGTTAAAGTTAAACTCATCATTCTATCAATGTGCAGAAGCCTGTACTTTTCCCTTGTTTTGTCTATCTGAAGGCCAAGCTACATGGCACCGTGGCAGCTGCTGATTGGAGGTCTCCATGCCTCCGCTCTGTATAATACACTTGCATTCTCTTGTATCTGTGATCGTGTGTTTTGTTTGTGCTGTCTCTACCATCGACAATAAAACATGTCTTCTGTCGGAATTTAAGACACGATCCCAGACTATGTCATCTTCTTCAACACTATTTACAAAAACATTTTTAATCAACTAGACATTTGTAAAGAACTATACATACATTCAACAATTTCTTTTTAGATATTTACATATTCAATTGTTTTTGTTTTTATTTAAATAGGCCAAAACACAGATTATTCAAACATTTAATTAATGTTGGGGTGGAAAGTGCTGCTGCCATCCGTCCACGCAGCTCCTGTCCACACTGCTGATCAGGCTGGTGCTGCTGATGCTGGTCCTGCTCATCATCAGGCCCTGGCTCCTCTTCCACTGGCTTCTAGAGATCACCATCGCTGATGCAGATGTTGTGCAGGATGGCGCAACAGGCAGTCACCTGGACTGCAAAGGTGGGTTGGACTTCCAGTGCCTTGGAAAAAAATGGATCGCTATCTTGCTTTCATCATACCAAACGCTCTTTCTGTTACAGATCGTGCCCGTGCATGGTGCCGGTTGAAGCGGGCTTCCACTGGGCTCCGAACAGGCTCTCTGTATGGAGTGAGGAGTGTGATGGGCTGACGGAGGCAAGGGTAACCCCCATCCCCAAGGAGGACGTGTCCATTTGGGGGATAGAGCTGGTGGACATACAGGGGGCTGTTTTTAAGCACCCGAGAATCGTGCACAGATCCGGGGTAGCCAACAAACAAATCAATAAATAAGCCACGGTGATTACACACAGCCTGCATTTGAATAGAATAAAACAATTTCCTGTTAAAATAACACTGTGCATTCTCTTGAAGGGGCTTTATTCTAATGTGGCAGCCGTCGATGCTCCCCACAACATTATTGAGAGCAGCTGATCCAGCCAGCAACTGAAACCCAGCTGCAACTTGGGGAAGTTCCTCCAGGGAAGGGAAATGAATTATTTGGCCACGCATTTGAAGGATCTGGTTGGCCACCCTGTGGATCACATCGTGGACTGTAGACTGAGGCATGTCCAATGCCCTGGCGACAACACGGTATGCGGTGCCACTGGCCAACCAAAAGAGGAAGACCAAAACCTCCATGTCCTGGCTCCAGCCCTGGTGATGAGCACTCCTCAGGTGGCTAACCAGACGGGTGATGGTGGTTCGAGTGAGACGAAAATCGGGGCGAAGGTCAGACTGGCCATTTAAGTACATGCTGAGTAGGGGTACATGGTGGTTCAGTCGGCAGTACACCGGTGGTTCACCCTAAAACAAAACAAAAATTATCTTAAACTTAATACGATACTTCTAGATTCATTTTTTAATTCTGTATCTGCACTTTTAGTTATGAGTGCAGACACAGGAATAAGTACTCATTTTTCATTTTGAGATTTAAAAATGTAAATAAAAATGAAGAGTATATAGCTGAAGTCATGTTCTTTTGTGCCCTGGCATTGATTTTGCCAAATGTATTGTGTGTTGCAGGGAGCTGGAGCTGCCCTGAGACAACTGAAGTAGAAACCCGCAGCCTACATCACTCGTACCTAATAACACACAAAAAAATCACAGAAGCCCTGTGCCCCATGGCCAAGCAAATTCTATTATTGTTTAATGATTAAGTACTCATTTTTCATTTAGAAAAAATGAGTACTTAATCCATTTTCCTTGCTATGGTTTTGTGTTCTTTCAACCAATAAAATATTTTAATGTTCTTGCATTTTAAGTGAGTGTGTCTATACAATGTGTTTTCTTGTTGAAATATGTCTAAATGTATATGACTAATGTGTTTCTCATTGACTGAGAATAGTATAGTACTTTAATTAGTAAGTACACCAAAAGTACTATAATTTACCCAGTAGATGGTGCTAATGCTATATAGACAAAGGACGAATACAATACTTACACGACGCCCTGCTAATGAACGAAGAGCCATTCTCCTCGCCCTCATCGCCTGTCTTTGCCTTCTCTCTGTTCGGCGGTTTTTAATTCGCATTATGATAACTTGTATAATAGTTATCAAAAACACCGCAAAATTCAGTGGAGGTGCCATTTCACCGGTGTTAGAAGAGCCGGTCAGGTGGCGGGAATATGAAAGACGTCAACCAAAATTCATAAATATGAATATAAATTGTAAAAACATTTTATACATGTATATTAGACAAATATTGATATTTTAATATACTTTTATTTATATATAAAATTATATTGATCCAATGACATGTGACAGGGGTGTGATGTGGGCCGCGGCTAAAAATAGTGTGCAGCTGTCCGAATCGCCAACAGAATGAGTGCACTGACTCACTCACTCAGTCGCTATATAGTCCCGAACTATATAGTGAGTGAGTGGATAGGGTATAGTGTGGACATTCGGATACAGCCAACATGTACAGGCTGTTCTCATTGTACAGTCTGACAGCAGCTGGGAGGAAAGACTTCCAGAATCTCTCCTTCCCACAGTGAGGGTGGATCAGTCTGTCACTGAAGCTGCACTGCATTATACTTTGAATAACAGTAAAGTCAGTAAATAGACATTTGAAAGATATGCTAATTTCCCGACTGTGTGTATGGATCTATTCATGATTCTTTCCTGATTTTAAAATTGAATCGGGATCTTTTTTTACCCGTAAATTTACAGTATTTTGATTTAATATCGCTATGGAGAGCTACTGGATCGCTCGTGTTAAATGCATTTTCAAATCATAACACAATCTTGAACAACCAAAAATCTCCAATATTTGTGCAAGTTTTTCTCCCGCTAATCACTAAACACTATGAACGTCGGTGAGCAGAATCCAAAGCCGTACCAGCTGTTCCACCTGTATTCTCCAGAGAGCCACAACAACCTGGACAGAGCGGTGAAGATGTTGTGGTGTTCTAACTACAAACACAAGCATCAGGGGCCGGACGACTACCTGGACGGCTTCTTCTCCTTCCTCCACATGCATCCGGGAGACATTTCTGCACAGATTTGCCCGTACTACTTCGACCAAGTCACAGACAAGTTGTGGAAGTATCACCAGAGCAGGTATGAACGTTACTGATACATATGGGCTTGTTCTCACCAAAGGGTACAAAAGTGGGACAAAAGGCCAACATTTAGATTTTAATAATCAGAAGATACTGTATTTTGTATTTTTCATGTATCCAAATACCTTCTAAAATCAAAACACATCAATAGTTGCTAGAAGAGAACTGTTTGAGTCAAGTTTCCATGTATAAAACCGTTCACACAGAGAAGAAAATGATCTTTTTTTTTTTCTTCTCAAGTCAAATTTTTAGGGATATATATAGATTTTTTTTTACAGGCTTGGGTATTTTTTATAGTTTATTGACAATAATTCATGACTGTATATTTTATGAATATCTAAATTTTTTAAGCACATCCCTAGCCCGATTAAAAATGTATATTTTGTGCGTGCGTGTGCGGAACAGTACATTGTGCAAGCAACATTATTATTAACATGTGTATTAATATTTTAGAGAAAAAATGACGGAAACCATAAAGTCCGTTACACATATTTGAAGGGTCATTTAAATTTGTATTGATTTTTTTATTTTATTTTATGATTCCTTTTTAAATCAAGTTATTTACTGATGTGGTGTTAACGTTAATCATGTGGGAGTTCTTCTGCTGCTTTTTCAGACTGAGGAGGTAACTGAGTCACAGTAGAAAGATCCAATCAGAGCCTGATTTGGTCGTTTCAAATGTCGCCAAAAATGTATTCGTCAATCTTTCCTTTTGATTTTATCCACTGTCTCTTTGATATGTCTGTGTTTGAAATCTTTTTTTTCCCAATCTATGACAGTCATTTTAGTTTTTGAGTTATGACCTTTAAAGTCTAGATACTTGAATTGACACTTTACTGTTTCCAAAAACATTTGACATTTGTTCAAAGGAGAAACTGCTTCGATGATTTGATGACTCGCTGTTGTGGAGGTTGAACTAATAGTTAGAGAAGTTAGAAAAGCACCAAAGCGACTGAAACAAACTGTAATAACAACTTTGTGTTATTTGCCTGTTTTTGGCTGTTTAACCTGCTTTTCTTCACATTCAGGATCTGTTTGTTGAGACACAATAGCAGTGTTCGTGTTGTCAGAGTCCGGACTGAGACAGACCTGCAGCGGCTCCTGTAGTTCTCAATCAGGACAGAAACCTATCATCTTAACATTTCCCCTGAACCCTTTAATGGTTTTCTCCACGATTGGGTGGATCATGTCTCCCTGAAGCTTAGAATTTAAATCTACCTCTTTCTTTTTGGGCATCTCTATCACTTGGTTTTAGAGACTTTTTTGTTTGTATGTAATGTATTTTATTTAACACCAAGTAAAAAATGAAAGAGATGAAAAAAAGAGTAAAGTGACAGTAAAGCCTCTCTCTCTCTCTCCCCCTCTCTCCCTCTTCCCCTCTCTCTCTCTCCCCCTCTCTCCCTCTTCCCCTCTCTCTCTCTCCCCCTCTCTCCCTCTTCCCCTCTCTCTCCCCCTCCCTCTCCTTTTTTCCCTCTCTCCCTCTGAGTTGTCCTGCCACAGGTTTGACTTGAAACCTTGTACCTGTATCATGCCCACACACATTTCAGGAACAAAAACAAGAAGAAAAAAAAAATAAACAATACATTTTGCAAGTAGGATAATTAATATGGTGGGGCGACAGTGCTCAGTTGGTAGAGCATTGGCCTTTGGGCCTGAAGGTCGTGGGTTCGAGCCCACTGTAAGACCTGCTTCACGACTCCCGCTGATGTCTGCTGTCGTTGTGCCCTTGGGCAAGACACTTAACCCTACTTTGCCTGAAGATCCCACTGAAAGATCTCAGCTCCTGTGGACTCACCACCTGCAGGAGGATCAGTGAGGGGCTGGTGCTCTGTGTACTGGGTGCAGCTCTGACTGCCACCCCCCCGACCCAGAAATGGATTAAGGGGAAGAAAATGGATGGATGGATGGATAATTAATATGGAAAATTAAAAATGAATAAATAAAAATGTAGACACTTTTACCATAAAACCGCATCAAACTTGAAGTTCAACAAAAAATATGCATAACTCATACCATAAAGAGTACACACACTTTACCACATTATAAAGAAGTGGCTATAAAACATGACACACACATGTATGGCGCCATCTGCAGGTGAAAGCCAGATCCTGTCAGACCTTTAAGGCTAAGCAGGGCAGGGCCTGGTTAGTACTGTGATGGGAGACCTCTGGGAAAACTGTGGTTGTGTCCTTAGGCAAGACACTTCACCCACTTTAGAATGAGTCTGGTGTGTGTGTGTGAATGGGTGGTGGTGGTGAGAGGGACCGATGGCACAGACTGGTTGACTCACTTCGGTCAGTGTGCCCGAGGGCATCTGGGGTTACAGTAGTAGCTAATCACCACTGTGTATGGATTCAATTTATTAAGTATGGAGGATTTCACAAAACCGTTGAAATCGCCAACACAGATTAGAAAATCAAACCCTTCAACAAATACAATGATAAAAACATATAGAGCCGTTGGTCCATAAGGGACAGAGACCAATGTCCATGAATTATGATAAAGGAGTGAAAGAATGTCCAAAAAGTGTTGTATAAAAAAACATTATAAAAGAACTACTGTAAGTTATTTAAGCTGTATATTTGGTGTCGGCAGATGTCATTATATGATTGTAATCGTCTCCTGTGTTTCCCAGGATTCCAGGTGTTCCCAGGTGTCTGAACCTGTGCTGCTTCCACTCCTGGTCCAGTCTGAAGGAGGAGATCTCCAGGGCCTTTTTGTCCACGACTGAAGACAACCAGACCCGTTTTCCCTTCTGTTATCGCAGTCTCCCCATGACACAAGACCCCAAACGGATTTTAACCAGCAAACAATGCATCAAACGCCTCAACAGAACGTTCCAATGAAGACCAGTCATTTAGAACATTAAAAACATTCAATTAATCCGACTTCCTTTTGTATTGACTGGTTTAGAGGTGGTTAAGACACACAGAATTATGTTTCACCCGTTTGAAAAATATATGGAGGATGGGAAAGTTTAAGGTCTGCCCTCTGAGCTACTGTCCACTTAAAATAACTGCTTGTAGGTATTATCCATTTACAAATTAAAATCACAATTTCTTTCGTTGTGTGGTTTTGTAGAGATTTTTCAACAGTTGTTACGGAGGGTCAAGCTATAAACCTGTCAGTAAGACATGTTTAAGAGAAACAGCCTCGAGTTTGAAATTAGTTTATGAAATGCAAAATATAAATAAGGATTTCTTATCTATTTAAAAAGTCTGCTTACATTTACTTTTTGTGAGTTGTTGAATCAGAAAACAGACCCGTGGCCAGAGCAAAACATTTAAGTTTGAATTCAAAGGAGTTCCTCAAAATGTCACCATAAACTCAACCCTTGCAGATGTTTTTGATGGTGATGAATCTGCGAGAAACTTTATTAAAATCATTCTTAAATATTTATAAAAAGAAACTTGAGAATCTTGTAATAATTGCACGGACGCCATTTTGTTGAGGAAAAAAAAACATGTTTATTTGTAAGGCTTGGACACTAAAGTGGACAGATACAAATACTTTAACTATGGCCAGACAAGAACCACAGAGCTTGAAAGCGGGAGCCTAGAGCGACTCTCGGCTCGTGCTGCAACTCGTAAAGATAGTCCAAAAATTCAATGCGACTCTGGGACAAACTGACCGACACGCGATCAGGACTGGACCCGGTTCAAGGAGGTCTCCCTCGACTCGTCTACTTGTAGAACTCGTGCTCTTGCTCGTCCTTCTTGATGACCGTCTTGTAGGCTTTCTCAAAGTCTTTGGCTAAAACGATGTAGCGGTTTTCTCGCACAGCTAGCATGCCAGCCTGAAAGGAGAAGACGAGTCAAACAGCCGGTCCCAAATACTTGTAATAAACCAAATTCTTGAAAGTGTGTCCTTGCTGATGCAGGAGGGTCTGAGGACAGTGAGGATCCAGGACATGTATTTATGGACAGTGGTCAACAGATTTATTGCTGGCGAATCAGCACCTTTGTATAGTCCAACTTATTTTTTAGCTTGTGGCCTTACTGAAAATGGAAAAATAAAATAAATCTGAATCATTGTGTCCTTGGGCAAGACACTTAACCCTGATTTGCCTGAAGCCCCCGCTGAAAGATCTAGACTCCTGTGGACTCACCATCTGCAGGAGGATCAGTGAGGGGCAGGTGCTAAGTGATTTGGGTGCTCTGACCGACCCAGAAATGGATTAAGAGGAAGAAGATGGATGGATGAATCATTGCATAGAGACGACTGCTGGTAAAATGTAGGGCTGTACACAAATCAAATTCAATAGTACTGAAAACTCATTACATCTCGGACCTCATCCAAATGTATGTTCCTGCGCACACTCTGAGGTCCGAGAGCCGGCTCGAGCTCGTGAGGCCTAAGTTCAGACTTAAAACCCAGGAAGACAGAACCTTCCCTTCGGCTCTAAGCTTTGGGACGCTCTTCCCCTCCATGTTCGGACGCCACAGTGGAGTGTTCCAAGTCTCGTCTTAAGACCCACTTTTATTCTTTGGTTTGGTCTTCATGAGTTGTGTGGTCCTCTGTATATCTTTTTATCTATATTGTTTAATAATTGGTGGAGCTAAGGATACGTTTCTTGTGCATATTATACTTGTGCGTGCAGCACTTTGGAAACTTGATACTTGTTTAAATGTGCTATATACATAAAGTGGATTGGATTGAAAACTGCCAGAGCCCTTTCCTAATCCTTCCCCTTCACATGTCGTCATTATTGCCATGTGCCAAAATGCCTGCGCATTCCAAAGTGCATCAGAGATTTAGAGGGAACATGTTCGGGACAAAATGTGCCTCTGTAAACTGGGATCGTCAGAGCAACGGCAACTTGAACGCAGAGAATGTAAATCCAAATGACACCGACTGTTCTACCCTCTTCACTATTTTGAGATGTTCAGATGGATTTTATTATTTAAGTCTGAATCTGTGGAGGTTTGGACTTTAGTTTACTGCAGACTGAACTGAACTCACCTCTTGGCAGATTGAGTTAATATCCGCTCCAGAAACCTTGTCTGGACGAGCCACATCTGTGAGGTCGGTTAAGGAGGACAGAGCAACAAAAACCACCATTTCCTCATCCTTAGAAAAGTACTATACACCAACTGCACTTCATATAGAGCTGAATATGATCAAGAATCTGTACGTACAACAGAATGTGATGCAGCTTTTGCCATGTGACTTTTGTTTATACATTGATTTCGGTTGGATTGCAGTGAAAACCTTGGTGTCATTTCCCATTGTGACTATGGAGAGTCCACCTAACAGGCTGTGAACCATTGGCTATTAAACGCTGATTAGACAATTATTTATCGAGAATGTATTGGTCGCTGTATCGGACGGTTGTCGCTCTCAATTTACCAGTTGATCTAAATCCCACTCTCACATCTGGTTATGAGCTTTGAGTAATGACCGAAAGGATGGGATCGCGGCTCCCTTAGAGAGAGAGTAAGGAGCTTGGTCTCATGGGAGGAGCTCAGAGTAGAGCTGCTGCTTTTTCACGTCGAGAGCAGCCAGTGGAGGTGGCCCGGGTATCAGTTTGGGAAGCCTCGTGGACGCCTCTCTGGGAGAAAATCTGGGCATGTCCCACCAGGAGACCAGGGACAGACCCAGGACACAGAGGGACTGTGTCTCTCAGCTGGTCTGGGAATGCCTAAGGATTCCCCCAGATGCGCTGGAGGAAGTCTGTAGAGATTGAAGTCTGTCTCTGCTAAGACATGCAGCACTCTCAAGTTTCTCACACATACATTTCATACGTCCCAATTATTCACAATGATTCATGAGTTTGTCCACGTTGACAATTCACACTCCCTTACCATCACAGTGACCCAACAAGAGCTAGCTCAGAAGAATTGTATGAAAATCAGGTCCAAGTCCTTTAAAAGTATCTACATTCATTAAACAAGTGTGGGTCCGAGGGTGGATTTAACCGCAGTGTGAGAAGGATACAGTCCTCCAGATCCACCTCCTCGGACAGGTTCATTTTGCTGGTGATGGTGGAGAAGACGAGGCGCTTCTGTCTGCGGTCGGGGAGAGGGAACTCTATCTTTCGGTCCAGACGCCCGGGACGGAGCAGAGCCGGGTCCAGCGTGTCGGCTCTGTTGGTGGCCATGATCACCTGCACACAGCACAGACTGGGTTAACCGAGACGCGCAGCGGAGAGCACTGTGCTAGCTAAACCACAGACTTCTGCTGGGTCCTACAGTTCCTACAAAAGCACAGTCAGAGGCAGACTTTAGCTCCTATCTGTGGAATCAGCTCCTTAGCCACGTCAAGGAAGCAGACACAGAGAAGGCCTGGCTTAAAACAGTCCCCTTTAATTCAGCATATTGCTCAGTAGGTAAGTTTAGTTTATCAATTTAAGATGACAGGGACAGTGTACAATAAACAACCTCAAAGGGAAAGATGCATTGTACCAGGTTATAGCTCAAGAGCTAATTTCGACCTGCTGATGCTATGTTATCACATTAAAAATAACAGACATTCATGGATGTACGGTTTACATTTAGCCAAAATACAAGTCTTCACGTGCACAATTTGTTAAAACCTCACACTCATATCGCTCATTCATACTGGTCAAACACACAAACACTCAACTTAGACAAACAACATTTAGTTTAGAAACACAGATTGGCAAATGAAGACCCCTGCTGGAGAAGAATGAAAACGTGAGCACCATCCTCTCCTACTGTATCTGTCACTAGTATGATTTGTATGTTTCATGGTGTGAGGATGGGGCAAAGACCACAGGGCCTGGCTACACGAGAGTTTATAAAATCGACAAAGCTGACACAGATAGAATACAGAGAAATTAATATTTTTTGTCAAATGTGTTTGTAGACTTGAGACCCATTTTTATGCTCTGGCTTTTAACACTGAGTTGTATTGTCCTTCTATTTTTTTGTTATTGTTATATTTATACATATATACACACACGGTTTTCCCTATTTTTTATGATTTTACTGTTTTACTATGGATTTTTTTAAATTAATCTTTTATTGTGCCGCAATTTGGAAACTTTGGTGTTTATGAAATGTGCTGTATGAATAAGTAGATTGAATAGGATAAATTCAAAGTAAAAATCCGCCCGGTTCACTGCACACAGGAGAGCAGCGGTGTTAGTGCAGAGTTCAAGTGAAGCTGATCAACACAAATATATCAACCCCAGCTCAAGATTAAAGTCCAGCAGCCCCACGCACTTAACCAACTGAATACACACTGTATAGACTTTAAAAGACAAAGTTTATCTGTGTGATAAAGTTGGAGCATGTCTTTTTATAAATCATATTGAGAAAAGACCATTGTTTCATAAGGTCAAGAAAACAATATTCTTCTCAGACCAGAAAAAAACAATGGAACCAATGAAACTGGAAAAAGACAAAAGAAACCAACTTTAAACCAGAAAAAAGTATATGATTGTAATAAAATCAATTAAACTACTTCAAAAACATTTTCTAAAACTTCCTAGAACAGAGTGTAAAGTGAAAGATGACCACACTAACCCTAAACTAGTGAGTCCCACGGCTCCATCTTTACATCTGCTAAGATAACTATTGTTTTCTATTGAGGATGAGAACTGCATGTTGTCGTCTGATTTGTTCATTATTTAAGTGAAACAAAATGTGCTTTGAAAGTTAATCTACTTGAATCTTATCCAGCATTTGTCTTCAGTCGGTTAAACTACTAAGATGGCTGCTCTCTGGTCTCTCCAAACGAGTTGTAAAATAGCTGTAGAATTATCAAAACGCTGAAGCTCAAGTCCTGACTAGAACCAGGAAGTACCATCACATTAGTCCAGGTCTCAGGTCTCGGCTACCTGTGGTTCAGAGAATAGACTTAAGTCTCTCCACGGCCTTGCACCAAAGTACATCTGTGACATGTTAGTGCCATATGAACCAAGGAGGACTCTGAGAAGCACAGGGACTGGCCTCCTGCTGGTACCAGAGTCAAAACTAAACATGGGGAGGCTGCATTTCAGATTCAGGCAGCTAAAATCTTCCCTTGACTTGCCTTGTGTATGAACTGTGCAATACAAACAAACTTGCCGTTGTCTATTTTCATTGTAACTTCCCACACATAACCCACTCACCTTCACATTAACATTCTGGTCAAAGCCGTCCATCTGATTCAGCAGCTCCAGCAAGATTCTCTGCACTTCTCTGTCGGCTGCACAGGACAAAGACAGGAGAGTATTTAACGGATAATATACTCAACTAAAAAAAAAAGTGTAAAAAAAACAAAGCAGCTCCAAACCTCCAGTCTGTGCGTCGAAGCGCTTGGTGGCGATGGCGTCAATCTCGTCGATGAAGATGATGGCGGGGGCGTTCTCCTTTGCCAGCCGGAACACGTCTCGCACCATTCGCGGACCTTCTCCCAAGTATTTCTGAACGAACTCTGAGCCGACCACACGGATGAAGGCGGCTGAGAGAGAAGACGACTCGTGAACAACTCATACTTAAAGGTCCCACTTTACGCTTTTCGAGCTTCAGTTGATCCAGGACACTCCACATTCAACAACATTTATGGACATTGGTCTCTGTCCCTTTGTATCTTTTATCTCTATGGGTTTTGTAAAGTATTCTGCGATAACTACTGTTGTAATTTAGGGCTGTACAAAATAGATTAAATTGTAAAAATAAGCAGTTAGAGAGCGACCCTTCTTTCACACTTCAGAGGGAGCTAAACGCCTCGGTTCAATTTGTCACCGCGAGAACCACCAGTTTCAATGGAGGTGATCTCTATGGCTATAATATTACGAGTTTGTGAAATTACTTCTATAAATTTACAGGTTTTGTATGGCGTATCACCCAAATTATTATCACACATGTGCTTAGGATGTACTGTGACACATTAAAAACAGCAAAATATGGGACCTTTAATATCAGGAGGTCACAACATTGTCTCTGAGGTTAACTATAGCTAGTATAATGACACCACAACATTCCAGAGGTGTATTTCTTGGAGACTATGGCAAAACTGTCAAATGTCAGACTACTTTCGAGTCAATTTCTCTCATTTTTTCTCTCCATATGAACCAAAAACAGCCTTTAAATCACCTTTATTACTTTCTCAGGAAAAGTTGTCAAAATGTGGTGACAATATTCAAAACAAATGCTTGATGTTGGACTGTACAAAGGGCTTTCAGAAAAGAAAATATTATGCCGCCTCAAATCAAAAATAATCCTTCAAACATACATTATTGCAAAAAGTGGTGACAGGGGCTCAGTTGGTAAAGCATTGGCCTTTGAATCTGAAGGTTGTGGGTTCAAGCCCACCGCAAGACCTTAGGCAAGACCATTTACCCACTTTGTCCATAAAAAGCGCGGAAGTATGCCTTGATGTGTGTATTTATATTCATCAAACTGAAATTTCTCCTCTGTGGGACAAATAAAAGACCTTCTTCTTAATATATGTCATTCTAACACTGGGGCAGCTTTAACACCAGAATTAAAACATTCTCAAAAGGTTGTGCCCACGTGCAGACGCATGTGTACGGACCAGGACTCACCGGTGGTATGGTGAGCCACGGCTTTGGCCAACATGGTTTTTCCGCATCCTGGAGGTCCGTACATGAGCACGCCCCTGGGAGGGTCAATGCCAATCTGGAAAAACATGAAAAACATACATATAATTTGAAGCTGATGAATTGAAAGTAATTACTAGATCCTATGAAGAAATAGTAAAGAGATTTTTATAGAATCAACCAGCCCTCTTCCCTCTCCACACACACTTCCTCCAGCTCATCTGGGGGAATCCTGAGGTGTTCCCGGGCTGCTGAGAGTCACTGTCCCTCCAACGTGTCCTGCGTCTTAACCCACAACGGTCCACAATACAGAATTATTTTTTATATTTAAATCAAACTGGTACAAGCTTGTTGAAGGTTTTTTTTAATTCCTCACATTGTAAAAATTCACTGCAATCACTGTAAAGGCACTTTTAAAATCCCGGAGACACAAACACTCAAGTTTAGCAACACTTCCCGCTTCTCACAACAATAAAACACTCAAATACTTAAAATCATTTTCATTATTATTGAAGCACTATAACTCAGAGCTGCTTTAACGACACATCTTCTCTGGGCCATAACTCATTTCTCCCAAACACATGGTAAGAATACAGAGATTGTTGGCGTTTACCTGTTTGTAGAGCTCGAAGTGAGTGAGGGGCAGCTCCACGGCTTCTCTCACTTCCTGTTTCTGAATGTCCATCCCTCCGATATCAGCGTACATCACATCTGGCTTTTGGTCTGCAAAGGAAACACGACAGTTGTTACGAGAAGCAGATGTGAAATGTAATATTGAAACAAAACCGGAAAAATACTCCAAAAGAATACAGACTGTAAGTATCAACAGTCTAGCAGTAGGTCATAAAACACAGATTCTTGGTCAAGCTGCATATAGAGACCCCTGCTGGAGAAGCATGGTAACAGCACTATCCTTCCTACTTCATTTGTCGTCAGTATGGCCTCAGCTGTAGTCTGTTCATTGCTATTCACCCACTGTCCCATTGCCCGCTTCATGGCATGATGGTAGGAGCCCTGACTACGACCTTTTTCATGTGCAGGTCTCCCCAGGCCCAGACTTGTGGGATTGGAGTCCTGGATCTACAGCCTCAGTCCTGGGTCTACAGCCTCAGTCCTGAGTCTACAGCCTCAGTCCTGGGTCTACAGCCTCAGTCCTGGGTCTACAGCCTCAGTCCTGGGTCTACAGCCTCAGTCCTGGGTCTACAGCCTCAGCCTCAGCCTCATCTGGGTCTACAGCCTCAGTCCTGGGTCTACAGCCTCAGTCCTGGGTCTACAGCCTCAGTCCTGGGTCTACAGCCTCAGTCCTGGGTCTACAGCCTCAGTCCTGGGTCTACAGCCTCAGTCCTGGGTCTACAGCCTCAGTCCTGGGTCTACAGCCTCAGTCCTGGGTCTACAGCCTCAGTCCTGGATCTACAGCCTCCTGGATCTACAGCCTCAGTCCTGGATCTACAAATTCAGTCCTGGATCTACAGCCTCAGTCCTGGATCTACAGCCTCAGTCCTGGATCTACAGCCTCAGTCCTGGATCTACAGCCTCAGTCCTGGATCTACAGCCTCAGTCCTGGATCTACAGCCTCAGTCCTGGATCTACAGCCTCAGTCCTGGATCTACAGCCTCAGTCCTGGATCTGCAGCCTCAGTCCTGGATCTACAGCCTCAGTCCTGGATCTACAGCCTCAGTCCTGGATCTACAGCCTCAGTCCTGGATCTACAGCCTCAGTCCTGGATCTACAGCCCGTCATTCTGTGGGAGCAGATTCCTCTCTCAACGTGGGCCTCCCAGAAGATTCTCACTCTTTTTGGGTTAGCAGGAAAAAGCATAACTTCTTTGACCATTAATCTAGCCTGTTTGATTCAATATAATGTATTTTTGTATAGCCCTAAATCACAACAGTAGTTATCTCGGAGGACTTTACAAAGCTGTCGATTCGCCAACACCAGATCAGAGAATCAAACAGTCCAAACTCAGGAAATGCAACAATAATAACACACATAGACATTGGTCCATAAGGGGCAGAGACCAATGTCCATAAATGTTGTGTATGCTAAGTAACTGCATTTTCTCTCGGACTCACCTGAAGTCAACATCATGATGCTGCTGTCGGCCTCCGGGGGCAGCACGTCCACCAGAGCGTTGCTGTGTTTGTGCAGAGCCACCGAGGCGTTGGGCTTCAGCAGCTCGCGGTCGATGGTGCTCAGGATCCGCACGTAGTAGTTGGAGCCTGAAGGAGGAAAAAGAAGATGGAGCTCATTACACATTTATTAACACTGCTTCGAACAGAATATTTAAACTTTCATGAAAAACTGATTCATTTAAGACACGCAGCTCTTCCTAGAAACAAACCAATCAATTTTTTATATTTTCCTGCCATTTCTATTCATATCTAAAGAGGATTACGCTCAAGTGTATTTAGAAACATGGGAAATCACATGGATCTTTTTGGAACAATGTAATGGTTGCTGACATTATCAAAAGCAAATCTTGCTGTTACGAGAAGCAGATGTACATGTTATCTATAATGCTGTTTATTTTCCGCTTAAACAAAAACTATTCAAAAACCAATGAGATTTATTTGGTTTTCAGATTGATAAAAAGAATTTAACTGGTACAATACAAGACCACACTGGAGAATCAACGTATTCAAAGAGGATTGTGCATAAGCAATCGCATTTATACAGTTTATTTAAGAACAGTAGTTAAATTATATGATTTTTATGCACAGTGGTCGTCCTTATTATTGTAGTTCAATACGAACTAAAACTCAAGAATGTATTTGCTATTTGCAGTAAAACCACATTGGAAAAGCTGTGCAAGATTATCCCATTGTGCACCAATTTGTTTGATTCTCTGATCTGTTGGTGAATAACTTGTTCCGTGTGCTCCTCTTTCCTACTGTTCTATAACTTGTGATGCAACACTGAAATTTCCCCACTGTGGGATAAATAAAGGAGCTCTTGATCTTAATCTTAATAAAGCTTTGTAAAGTCCGCAGCGATGACCACTTGTATGGGCCGTACCTGTGGTGGAACCAACAATAGCAGTGTTCTGGTCCACGGCTTCCAGAAACTGTCCGATGACGAGAGGGATGCTCTGTATCCGCTTCACCTCCTCCTGAGCGTGGAGGAACTCCTTCTTCAGGTTCTTCTGTTCATCTTTAATGTACTCCTCCTGCACCTCCAGGAACTCCAGCTCCTGCTGCAGTTTCTGTGGCACAAAGGAAGAAGATTACAACCAAACTATTCACACTTTTAGCTCTTGTAGTTTTTACTTGTTTATACTTTGAGGTTCATTTTGCGAAAGATAAAGTTTGAATTTCTCAGTTCAGTTACTTTAATGTCTGCATAGGGAACTTTATCCTCTGCATTTGACCCATCTTTTATTGCCTCTAGGGCGTCTGTCAGGAGCAGTGGTCGTCGTAGTGCATCTCCAGACTGATCTCCAGACACTATTGCTTGGTTTGGTCCGGACCAGAACTGGAGGATTTTTTCATTTTGAACATGTTTTAGTGTGAGGGTAAACCGGAGCACCTGGAGGAGAGCCACGCCCTGTTCCGACCGGGTATTACAATTATTGATTCCTGTTCATAGGCTTTAAATAAATATATGAAATGAAAAAGAAAAGATATGCTGCTTTTCACACATAAGTAAAAAGTCTCATGAACAGACAGTGAGCTCTCCACTGCCAAAAACTAAATTAGAAAGTCGATGAATTACAGAAAAAAAATCTGGTTAATAAAAACTAAAAGTGAATGAACGGTGAGAGTCAGTGTGTTTGAGGTCTCGCTTCTGTTTGGCCTTTATTGATAAACATTTTTGTTCTTATGATATTTAATTATTAATGTTATGAGTCAACTTGTCACATTTAGACCATTGATTCTTTCAGCCTGATATTTTAAAGTCTTTTGCATGAAACCGCTACTCGAATGTCTTCCCATGTTCCCACCTTGTATCTGGTGTAAAGATCCTCCAGATCCTCAGGTTCTGGTGCCAGGAAGGACAAACCCGTCTGTGGTCGAGAGTTCAACACTGCAGGCATTTCCTCCTGAATAAAGAAAACAAGTTTAGCTCAGTCCAGAGATTTTCACAATTAAAAAGACTAAACAAAGGAAGACATTGAATAATCATTATACGACTCGGAGCTTACAAAAGAACGAAGACACAATCCCTCAGTTCTACACACAGATAAACAGAACTGTTTTTAACCTGGATTTACACATCAGATTAGAAGCCTGTCTCAGATTTTCAGGAAGCCTACATAAGCCTGGAATGCTGCCTCCCCATTTAGTTTAGTCTGACTCTGGGACCAGCAGGAGGCCAGTACCAGTGTTCCTCACAGTCAGAGTCAGTTCATATGGCACTTAACATGTCACGGATGTACTTTAAACAATATAAAACAGCTACTTTCTGATCTTGTTTGCGGGATAGGTCAGAAGTAGTGACAAATGTGAAAGAACATAAAGTTAAAAACTGTGACAACACAATAGGGAAGGATGAGTGGCAGAACACTGGGCCTGACACGGCAAAAATGTGCCACTGTAGTAAACACTGGAGGAGTTAGCATAGCCACTTAGCTCAGCATCCTGATGGATATGGATATAGATGTAGGTCAAACGCACAAAAGGCAACAAAGATCTTCAGGTTAAACACAATGATATACTAGATTATAATTTGAAAAAAGGTGAACTATTTTATTTGTAAAAGAGACATTAACGAGAGCAGAGCACGACAGAGCAGAGCAGGGAATGAATAGGCAGGTTTGGTCCGTGCAGAGAAAACAATTAATATGACATCTACGGGCACCGAGAAGGACAAATAAACATTGGCCACGTGGATGTAAACTATGTTCGACCTCAAACAATGTCATAGAAAACGGCCACAAATCAGAAAACATGTTTAAAACCGCATACCGGGCTTTTCTCCACAGCGACGCAGTCCTCCATGTTGGATTCACTAACAGCTGACGTAAGGACGCTGGAGCGTGGCGTTTGTGGCATTCTGGGTAATGTAGTCCCAAAGAAAAGAGACTTCTCACAATATATACAGTCTATCCATCTAGCCATCACTCACAACCATCACAGCACGTCAGACTTGATTATTATACTGTATATTAATCCTCTTTATATACAGTCTATGGACAATGCCCTAGTCCCACATTATAGGTATAGATAGTAAAACTAATAAGTAAGTAAGTAAGTAAGTAAGTAATGTTTATTTATATACCGCAGACCAGAGTCATAAAGCAGTTAATAAGCTCTAATTTCTCCCTTGTGAGATAAATAAAGAATATCTTATCTCTTAATCTATAGATTTATATAGGAAATAATTGTCCCAGAGAGAGCCATGTAATTATTACCATTAGTATCATTATCATGTTAACAGAAATAAAATCATATATAATAATATAAAAATGATTTGGATGCCCATTCGCTGTCATCAAATGCACAGTTTCTCGGGATAATAAAGTCAGTTGTGCCTCGAACCTTCTTTTTTCCCCTTACAATCATCTGCTGTACAACACATGTATATGAATTATTATATTCATGTCAGACCTCGTTTAGTCCTGATATAGACCTGGTAAAATCCTGGTTTAGACTACCTACTTTTATCAATTTTCGATTTGATAGAGATTAATTGTGCAGAAAACCTAAACCAGGTCTAAACCAGGTCTGAATCTGGACTAAAGAAGAAGATTTACTTTATTGATCTCACAATGGAGAAATTTGGTTCAATGAATAGTCATATACACATATCAAATCAAGGCATGCAGCGTGCTGTTAGTTCCGCGCTCCTTATAGACAAAGTGGGGTAAAGTGTCTTACCCAAGGACACAACAACAGCAGACATCAGTGGGAGCCGGTGGAGAGAGTCTTGTGGTGGACTCAAACCCACGACCTTCAAAGACCAATGCTCTACCACCTGAGCCACTGTTGCCCAGAACTAAACCAGGTCTAAAACAAGTCAGAACTAGTCTAGAGCAGAACTAATCAAAGACCAATAAAGTAGATCTGCAATTTAACTGTCACGTCCCACTTTAAATTATATCTCTGGCCTTTTGTCCTGTGCAAATAAATCAGTTGAGACTTTGTGATCTTTAGATGAATCGAAAGCGCCTCCACTGGGGCTGGCTGAGGTATTCTTTCTTACCAAAAACACCACATAGTAAATGCCATGTCGCTTTAGTCCAATCCTTCTATATTATGGCCTGGCAGTCTGCTGAAAATCATTTGGTCACGCGTTTACATCCCCACTCCCACATAGTTTTATGTTAGTGTGTTGTGTCTATTGTCTTGTCTATTTTTTGTTTTTTTTCTGGACTACGAGTCTGTAATAAAGCTGTCTATCTATCTATCTCTGTAGGACCATCTCCAAGTTATCACTGCTGTGAGAGAGTCATGTGTGATAACCCGGCAGTCTCCTTTACATCCACATCATTGATAACGTTTGTAGATGTCTGGATGTTGCTGATCAGTTGAGACTTCAGTTTTTTGTTGATTTCATTAACTATATTTATATTTTAAACCATTGGATTTCACAGTCCCCTCAACAACCAACTCATTTAGTCAGACTTGTTCAGAATTCACTTGTTGCCTCACTTCATACCTGCGCAAAAATGTAATGCTTGATTCTTCTCCCCCAAAATGCATTTCTGGGGATCACAAAACGCTGATTTGCACTCGCACAGAGAGGCTCAGGATTTTGGTTTCACTCCCGCTCGACATGAAACCCTCTCAAATAGGAGAGCAAACCTTCAGCAGTGGCCAACAGCCTATTGTCACAGGAACATTCAGACTGAAGCAGATCCGGATTGAGATCTGATAACTTGTCTGTCGCTTCCCCCTCATTTACATACATATTCAGTGTTTATAGAAAGTAAAACCTGTGTCACTGGTCAGAGCAGTTCCACGTCTCCACAGCAGAGTTCAGACTGACGCAGTGAGTATTTCTGATCATTAACATTGAAATAACACAGCAAAACAGAGAGATGTGTCGTTCGTCTGCAGTTTGAATCAGAGCAGAAACAACAGGACTTTAGAAATATTTCAGATTATAAAACTATCACATACTGTATTGTTTCCTAACTTTAGCTCTAGTGTCGTTGGAATGGCTCTGTTTGAGTCGTTTCACTGCTTTATAAACTGGATCAATCTTGTTGTAAAAAACAGGTTTGGGAGACTGGCTTCAGCCTGTTCACTGCAAATATGAGTGAAAATAAGTGTTAAAATGTTATGGACGTGTTGAATACAGATTGTTATTTGAACACCACACAGTTTTACGATAGCACTGTTATTGACTGGTGATTTCTGTCAAACCTCCCCGTATGCGCCTGGGGATTACAAGAAAAAAAAAATAACTAGAAACCAACATATGTTTGTTGTTGAAAGTAGACAGTCCAGTTATTCAGAATCTGGTTTCATATTTCACATAGTCATAGCACATAATATTTGGTGGGTCTTGAAAGTCAGTGAAATCATCAAAAACAGCTTTTTTGGAATGTTGGAATGTTGGTTATTATCAATATGGCCATACCTCCAGGTGAAAGAAAGATTCCCTCAGACCTTTGAAGCTAAGCAGGGCAGTGCCTGGTTAGTGCGTGGGGCAGCTGCGGCTGTAAAGTGTCAAACTGTCATTGTGTCCTTCACCCACGTTAGAATGATGTGGGAGAATGGTTGGTGGTTGTGGTCAGACAGTCAGACATGGCACATACTGGTTGCCTCGCTTCTGTGAGTGTGTCCCAGGGCAGCTGTCTTTGGAGTGAAAGATTGACACTTAAACAGTTTTATTTGGTTCAATGTTATATACCGTATTTTTTTGGACTATAAGCTGTTTTTATAGCATTTTTTCTGCATTTTGAAGGCTGCGGCTTAATGTTATTGTTTATTATCTTGTTTTTATTCCTGTGTTGTCAAAAACATTTTGCCAAGTAACAGTAGACCAACAGAATTGATGAGTAGTTTACAGAGGTCCAATTAAATGTAAGATTTGTCAATCAAGCAGATTAAATAAAGTAACTTATAATATCTTTGGGGAGGCATTAAAACATTAAAACTCATACATTTCCTTCACAGGCTCCAGAAGCAACTGGCCTCAGATTACCCAGAATGCTCTGAGAGTGTGGAGCAGAGCAGCAGAGAGGTTCTGAACATCACCCTGGACTTCCTGAGGAGGATGAAGCAGGATCAGCTGGTCCAGCGCCTGCAGAGCAGTAAGAACTCTCTGTGTCTGTGGCAACACAACATGTGTTTACAGAGACCCACACATTTCTGGCTCTCAGGCTCTGAACACTCACCACACTTCGGTAATCGACACCATTCTTTTGAATCATTGGAAGTTACTGACTCAGCCACCAACACATGGTGTCAAACACATGACCTTGAACTAAATCAAATCACTCAAAAAATCAATCAATCAAACTGAAACTCCTTCCACATGTTCTCGCTCATTCCCTCAGCCAGAGCTGCCACGACATCACTTTAAAGATGTACTGTACCCGTAAAATTCATTCTCTGTGTGAGTTTGACAGTCCGCAGGTTTATTTATGACGGAGCAAATGTAGCTAATGAGGAGATGAGCCTCATCACATCAGCTGCATCACATGTCGATATATTCATGAACCTGAAGCTCTGAACAACTGCACTTCAGGCACTGAATCTGTTTTACAATTATTCTTTTGCTTTAAGTCACAACCCTGGAAAAACATTAAAGATGTCATTCATCTGCATGAAAGACGTGCAAAGCAATAAAAACAGCAACGTCATGAGCTTCCCTAATGAAAAAGTCTCTGACATGACTGACAAGATTCTGAGTATTGTTTTAGACAACACTAATGTGAAAAACATCATTTTGCACATAGGGGCTAACAAGGTTATGAAGTGTTATTCTGAGTTGCTGAACCTTGACTTTAGTAATCTGCTAAACACAAATATTGTCATCAGTGGCCCTTACACCCATCAAGGACAAGGTAGAGTCAGTTGCACTGAACACATGGCTGTAAACAGCATGTAATGTGCATTCACTCGCAGACATCTTTTCAAAGAAGATGGACACAGTATAAACAAATTGTGAATTAAACTATTTCTGTCCAACCTGTTCTACCTGCGCCACAGTGTTTCACGGTTAATAAAAATCTGGAATTAAGGTATATCCTGAACAATGGACTACATCAGAGGTGGATGTGATCATCTGTTAAGCACCCTGGGTTTCTTCTGCATGAATGGTACTTTATAAATACATTTGCTGTGCCTTGCGAATGAAATGGTGTTAGCTGTTAGCCTTGTTTGTTAGCATCTTTGGCTAACGCTAACGGAGGCAGGTCAGTTCAGTTCAGTGGTCACATGTTCACATCTGTTTGTCTCTCTTCAGGAAGCATTGTTGGAGTTTGTAGAGATGAACTGAAGAATCATCTGCAGCAGAGGTTCACCCGGGTGTTTGAGGGCGTGGCTAAAGCAGGAGACTCCGCCCCCCTGACCCAGATCTACACAGAGCTCTACATCACAAAGGGCGGGGCCTCAGAGGTCAACCAGGAACATGAAGTCAGACTCATGGAGAGCACGTCCAGGAGACCAGCCACTCCAGAGAACACCATCACCTGCGAAGACATGTTTAAGCCCCGCCCACACTCACCACAGCCAATCAGAGCGCTGCTGACGAAGGGCATGGCCGGCGTGGGGAAGACTGTGCTGACTCAGAAATTTAGTCTGGACTGGGCTGAAGGCAGAGCTCATCAGGAACATCAGCTGCTGTTCCACTTCTCCTTCAGAGAGCTCAATGTTCAGAAGGACAAAAGCTTCAGCCTGGTGGGACTCATACAGCACTTCTTCAGTCTGCCCGAAGGTCTCTGCAGCTTTGAAGACCTCCAGGTGCTCCTCATCTTTGACGGTCTGGACGAGTGCAGACTTCCTCTGGCCTTCAGCAGCTCTTGTGTCCTCTCAGACCCCACAGAGTCCGTCTCACTGGACCTGCTGCTGGTGAACCTCATCAGGGGAAGCCTGCTTCCCTCTGCTCGTCTCTGGATCACCACACGGCCAGCGGCAGCCAATCAGATCCCTGCAGAGTGTGTCGCCATGGTGACAGAGATCCGAGGCTTCACCGACCCGCAGAAGGAGCAGTACTTCAGAAAGACGTTCAGAGACGAGCGACAGGCTACAAAGATCATCTCCCACATCAAGAGTGTCCGCAGCCTCCACATCATGTGCCACATCCCAGTCTTTTGCTGGATCCTCTCCACAGTTCTACAGAAGCTTCTGGAACCAGAGCTGCCCCGGAACCTCACACAGATGTACACATACTTCCTGGTGGTTCAGGCCAAAGTCCAGAACATAAAGTATCAGCAGGGATCAGGAGCGGATCCTCACTGGACTCCACAGACCAGGGAGATGGTACAGTCTCTGGGAAAACTGGCCTTTGAGCAGCTGCAGAGAGGAAACCTGATCTTCTACGACTGTGACCTGAGCGAGTGTGGGCTGGACACTGCAGACGCCTCAGTGTACTCCGGAGTCTTCACACAGTTCTTTAGAGAAGAGCCAGGGCTTTACCAGGACAAGGTCTACTGCTTCATCCATCTGAGTGTGCAGGAGTTTCTGGCTGCTCTTTACGTCCATCAAACCTTCTACAGCTCTGGACAGAACCTGCTGAAGACACCAAACTCCTCTGAGAACCTGCTGAAGACACCACACTCCTATAATAACCTGCTGAAGACGCCAAACTCTTCTGAGAACCTGCTGAAGACACTTGACCCCTCTGAGAACATGCTGAAGACACCAGACTCCTCTGAGAACCTGCTGAAGACGCCACACTCCTCCAAGAACCTGCTGAAGACACCAAACTCCTCTGAGAACCTTCTGAAGACACCACACTTCTCTGAGATACTGCTGAAGACACCAGACCTCTCTGAGAACCTGCTGAAGACACCAGACTCCTCTGAGAACCTACTGAAGACAGCACAGTCCTCTAAGAACCTGCTGAGGATACGACACTCCTCTGGGATTCTGCAGAAAACACCATACTCCTTTGAGTCTCAGAGAACCTTCTACCGTTGTGCTGTGGACCAGGCCTTACAGAGTCCAAACGGACACATGGACATGTTTCTGCGCTTCCTCCTGGGGATGTCTCTGCCAACCAATCAGTGGCTGCTGTCAGGTCTGACTCGGATAGAAATTCACTCAAGAACCAATAAGGAGACTGTACAATACATCAAGGAGAAGCTGAATGAAAAGAGCCTGTCTGCAGAGAGAAGCATGAACCTGCTGCACTGTCTGGTGGAGCTGAACGACCTCAGTCTGGTGCAAGAGATACAGATGCTCATGAGAGAAGGAACACTTTCCCTCTTAAGCACTAATGCTCAGTGGTCGACTGTGTCCTTCATCTTGCTGTCCTCAGACTCAGACCTGCAGGAATTTGACCTGAGGAAATACCAGGCCTCAGAGACAGCTCTCCTGGGTCTGCTGCCGGTGGTCAAAGCCTCCACCAAAGCCCTGTGAGTCCAGACTGTGCTGAATGTCCTCTCTGAAGGTTCTAGTCTCTAATGTGTCTCTGTCCTCAGGTTGAGGGAGTGTGGACTGTCCCCTCGCAGCTGTGGCCCTCTGGCCTCAGTCCTCAGCTCCTCCAGTCTCACACACCTGGATCTGAGTAACAACAACCTCCAAGACTCAGGAGTAGAACTGCTGTGTTCTGGACTGAAGAGCGCCCCCTGTGGACTACACACTCTTAGGTGAGACTCCCATGATGCATCTGTGTCCTCTGTGTCCACATGAGTGTAACGCTGTGTGTCTTTAGGCTGTCTGGATGTTTGATCTCAGAGAGGAGCGGGGCTGCTCTGGCCTCAGCTCTAAGCCCCACCCGCTCTCATCTAAGCCCCGCCCCCTCCCATCTGAGAGGCTTAGACCTGAGCTACAACCATCCAGGAGGTTCATCAGAGCTGCTTAGGGCTCTACAGGACGATCCAAACTGCCCCCTGCAGGAACTCAGGTCTGACCCTACTCTTCTCTGGTCCTGGTCCAAATCCTCGTCTTAGTCTCTGGTCTTGGTCTTGGAGCCAGGTCTTGGTCCCTGGCCCTGGTCCAGCTCTTGCACTCTGGTCTAAAGTGCCTTGTGTGTTGTAGGTTGGACCCTGGTGGAGAACAGTGGATGGTTCCAGGTCTGAGGAAGTGTGAGTGGGTTTCTTATTCCCTTCTTGGACATTAAAACCTCTGGATAGGATTTTCTATCTGGTTTTGTGTTTGTTCCACAGATTCCTGTGAATTTTCTCTGGATCCAAACTCTGTTCACAGATCCCTCAAACTGTCAGAGGACAAACGGACAGTGACCAGTGGGACAGAGGGGCAACAGTGTTCAGATCAACCTCTAGACGGGTATCCGGTCCTGAGCAGCACTGGCCTGAGGGGGCGCTGTTACTGGGAGGTGGCCTGGAGCAAGAGCACGTGGGATGGGGACATTGTGGTAGCAGCGAGTCACAGAGATAGCAGAACGTCTGGAGGTGCTGATCAGTCCTGGAGTCTGAGGGTCTTTGCAGGACGTTATTCTTTGTATCACAACAACAGAAAAACACTCTCCTCCTCCTTCTCCCCCTCCACCTCAGAGCTCTCAGGTCGAGTGTCTGTGTACCTGGACACTGAGGCTGGATCTCTGTCCTTTTTTGAGGTCCTCTTGTGGGGAGAACTGTCCCTCCTCCACACTTTCACCTCCTCCTTCACTGAGCCTGTGTTTCCTGGGTTTAGACTGGACAATGAAGGTTCCAAAGTGTCTCTGGTGAATCTGAGAAGGACTTAAGTGACTCTTTCAACAAACACCTTCACAAGGTCTTTAGCTTCTCATCGGGGGTTTGCTGCTATTTCTTTCAAAACATTCTTAATACAATTCAAAATGAGGAACGATCTGATGTAACAAAGATAATAGTTTGGTATTCAATTCTGACAAAACAAAATGTATGTTATCGTGATCACTGTACTTGCTTTAAAAGCAACACCTAAAGTAGATTTGATCACAGGAGCAAAAGTAATCGAGAAATAGTTGACTCAATGATATTGTGCAAGAGTCGCATTAATTATATTGTTTTTATACAATGGGAAGAATTATGGAGATGATCCAACTCCATAAGGAATGAATATCACAGTAGTTGACCATGGTGGCTTCACAGCAAAAATGTCCAGGGTTCGATTCCACTTCCAGGGCCTTTCTGTGTGGAGTTTGCGTGTTTGTGCGGGCAAAGGTTTCAGAGAATCAGAGACTCAACGGTTCAAACACAAGAAATGCAATGATTAAAAACATGTTATTTTTTTAATATAATTTGTTTTACCATTATGCTTTCCTGTTGTTGTGTGCATTACATTAATTTAATGTAAAACTATATATACATGTAACAGTTTTGAGGAGACCCCTGGAAGACTATCTACTGCACTTCAGTGGCTACTGTGGATGTTGATAAACTAAACTAAACTAAACTACTGACCAGAACATGCTTCTCTTAGTCTTTCCTATATTTGCTAAATCCTGGTGTATGTTGTGAAGACTCAGATGTGTGGGACAAGCAGAAACTACAGCCCATTGTGCGCTTTGCAGAGAAGGTGATCGGCCGCAGCCTTCCATCGCTGCAGGACCTGTACGTCGCCCGAGCTCGAGGCCGGGCTGGTCGTATCACAGACGACCCCTCTCCCCCTGCACATGGACTATTCCATCCACTCCCCTCAGGCAGGAGGCTGCGGTCCATCAGGACTAGAACAATTGAACACTTAATAACCTTGTTCCCCGCCCTTTATAAAGTCACTTTACGGCCCTTTATAAAGTCACTTTAGGGCTAATAATAAATATGTAACTAATATAATAATAATATGTTCATTATAATGTGGTAATATTCCATTTTGTGTGTGTGTACATGCTGTGTATTGCAAATCAATAGTTGAGTGAGCTTCACTTTTTAGCTTTAGCCATTATTTATAATAATAATTAGTTCATTTTTATTTGTTTGTGTTTTTTAAACAGCAACACGGTGTTTGAGTGGATAGCACTCACGCCTCTCAGCAAGAAGGTCTTGGGTTCGAATCCCGATCGGACCAGGGTCTTTCTGAGTGGAGTTTGCATGTTCTCCCCGTGTCTGCGTAGGTTTCCTCCGGGTACTCCGGTTTCCCCTACCACTAAAAACATGCACAATAGGACTGGCATGTGCCTCCTGTACTGGCCCCGCTCCCATCTCTGTGTGGAGTGAGAGGACAAGTGCCCAAAAATAACAATTGTAAACCGCTTTGTGACTCTGGTCTGTGAAAGGCGGTATATAAATAAAGATTACTTATAACGGTAAAAATATGTATCTATAATGTTTATCTTCCACATCATGTGATGGTTCTGAACATTTGTATGGTCTTGATCTTGATATAATGTGGCATTGTATACAACGGATCGTTTGTTTTTTAAAAATCTTAACCCATTTAATCCCATCGGTCACAATAGTGACCGTAATTTTTTTTCTAATTATAAGGCTCTAAAATTGTTATTGAGTGATTTCTCAATGTATTTTCCCTGAATATTGAAATAATAGAATGTTTGGATGAAATGTGTGCAGTGTCACATTTTTTTGTGAATATTGTCACATGACCAGAGCTGTTTACTTCCTGGTTGCACCTCGAGAGGAAGATGGCTGCCAGAAAGCTTCCAAACAAAAGGTTTGTAAAGTATGTTAAAATAAATATAGGACAAAGCTTTTTAGTACACATGATGTTTAGGGTGTCTAGTAATGACTTTTGCATTTACAATTACTCAAATTGGTTTGGTGTGTTCACAGAATGAGTAAATGTGTGAACGGTCACAATAGTGACCGATGGGAAAACATGTACACACATACCTCTATACATACAAAATTCTTGTTGTGTCTAACTTTTACTTGTTTCTTTCTTTTAGATTAACTTTAAGTGAAGTTCTGGATATGTTGGATTATGGTGATGGGCATGACAAGGCATGCAACATTGCAGTTATACCTCAAAATGAGAAAGATGCCATCCTCAGTGATTGTGACAGTGATGGGTCAGATATGGACTATGAAGGCGAGATAGGTCATTTGCCTACCCGGATGTTGAATGCATATGCTGAACTTATGAGAACAGATGATGACAAGAACAACATTGATGACCTCCCCCTCCCCCCCTGCACTAGCCCTCCCTTACCACCTGGCACTGTTGAGTGCAGAGTAGACGGGGCCTCTAGGAGCCATGCCAGGCAGCCACATGAACCAACGGCAAAAATACAGATGATCAAAAAGAAAACTCAAGACAGAAACAACAACATCAGTGCTAATGGCCTAACTCCCCGCACCACCCCTTCTCCTCCACCCTCAACTGCTGAAGAGCTAAGGTTCTCCCAGGAACAAGTCTAAAGAACCTCTGAGGTCCTCTAGCCGCCAGAGGGGCCAATCTGAGGAACCTTCAAGGTCCTCTAGCCGTTGGACAGGCAAGGCTACAAATCAAAGGTCCTTTAGCAGCCAGAGGTACATGTCAGAAGGGCAAAGGGCACAACTAGAGGTTGTCAAACATAAAGATCTAGACAGAAACAACAGCACCAGTGCTGATGGCCAAACTCTTCCCACCACCCCTTCTCCATCACTCTCGACTGCTGAAGAATTAAGGTTTTCCAGCCACCAGAAGAACAAGTCTAAAGAACCTCTGAGATCCTCTAGCCGCCGGAGGGGCCAGTCTGAGGAACCTACAACCTCCTTTAGAAACCATAGGGCCATGTCAGAAGGGCCAAGGGCAGAACTAGAGGTGGTCAAAAATAAAGACAGAGTCTTTCAAACGATCAAAGAGGCCAGCTGCTGCAAGCATTCCTGAGTACATAGTATACAGCCCTAATGCCGCTGAATGTGTCAAACAAAGCTCTCCTGATCCAATGAAGGTTTTCCTACTAATGTATCCACCCACCCTAAGAGACATCACCCTTGAAATGTCCAACCTATACGCCACCCAAACCAAGGGCAAGCAACTGGATATGAGTATGGACGAGCTCCTTACATTCTATGGGATCCTTGTGGCTGCGGGCTACAGCACTGTTCCAAGAAGACGTATGCACTGGTCACTTGACAGTGATGTGCATAATGAAAGCATTTCAAATGCAATGCGGCGAAATAGATTTGATGAAATAATGGCCTCTCTACATTTTGCTGACAACACAAAAATCACTGACGATCCATTTTTCAAGGTTAGGCCCATCTTCACCGAGCTCAAAAAGTCCTATAAAGTCATGCCATATCCAGAATGGCTGTCCGTGGATGAAAGCATGATACGATATTATGGCCGCCATGGATGCAAGCAATTTATTAGAGGCAAACCAATCCGTTTTGGGTATAAAATCTGGAGTCTAGCCTCATCCACTGGGTACATGCATCATATGGAGCCATATGGAGGACGCCACACACTCCTCCCAGAGACTGGATTAGGTCAGGGGCCGAGTGTCGTTCTCGGTCTTGCAGAGCAAGGTGAGGTGCCTCAAGGTTGTAAATTCCACCACGACAACCTCTTTACTTCCCTTTCACTTTTGGATGAGATGACGAAGAGAGGATATGGGAGCTGTGGGACAATGAGGGAAAACCGTCTCTTTGACATTCCTTTCAAACCAAAGAAAGAATTCATGCGCTTACCCCGAGGAAGCTCTGAAGTTCTAACACAAGGAGAGAAGCTGCTGGTTCGCTGGAAGGACAACAACATTGTCACCATGGCTACAAACATGGAGAAGAACTATTCTGAGACAGTTGTCAAACGATGGAACAAAGAGCGACGTGCCTTTGACCAAGTCCAACAACCACAATGCATCAAGCTATATAATGAGCACATGGGAGGTGTAGACCTTCATGACCAACAAGCCTCACGATATAGCATCACGATTAGGTCCAAGAAGTGGTGGTGGCCCATCTTTGCATGGTCTCTCAACAGTGCACTTGTTAACAGCTTTTACTTTTACAGAGATGTTATGGGAGGGACCATTGACCTGCTCACCTTCTCACGAGTAGTGGCACAGTCTCTCATGCAAAAGTTTGGCACAAAGCCACTATCTCATGGAAGGAGATCACTTCTGGCTGCTTCTGTACAAGATCAGGCAAGATATGACCAAGACTCTCACTGGCCAATCAACACAGGGAATCGGTTCCTCAGATGTTGTCTTTGTGATAAACGCACCACCTTCGCATGTGAGAAATGCAATGCTTCACTGCACATTGAGTGTTTCAAGAAATACCATGGACAGTAGTTCTTGGAAAAGGTCAACTGAGTAGACATATTGCACAGCAGTGGGACTGACAGATGAAGTTACAGATCATTTGTTGTTTATGTCATCCACATGCAGGTTTCAAATCAGAATTATATTTTTATGTTCTATTGCTGTAATAACTGTAAATATGTCTGATGGATTAGAATGCAAAAATATTTGCATAATAGCTAACAAATCAAGCACTTTGTTCAGAATATTGTACCTGCCCCTAATCTACTTAGATATGTTTTATAGGGACATTGACTGAATCACATGAGAGGAATGTTTAGTGAATGTTGCACTAAAATGTGATATTGAGATCACAAATAATATTGCACAAAGTACAATAAAAAATGTTGCACTTTAGTTAAAAATACATACATGTTGCACTAAAGTGATGCTGTTGCAAGTTACATTTAATTAAACAATGTGAACATATTTGGTATGTTGGTCTTAGTCTTCATATCAGTGTTGTAAAGCCCAAATTCCTGATCAGTCATTGCTGTCAGAATACAGAACTCTTGCACTTTCAGCACCTTCGATTGAGCATACAACACATTATCCCACTGGTCACAATTGTGACCGGTCATAAAACACACATTTTCACCTACTTTCCAATATTAAAAAAACAAAACAGTTATTGATAATGTCAAAGGGTTCTCAGTGAAACATGATTTGGATATTTTCATATTTTAAAAAAAATTGGGCTTAAATGGGTTAATGAAGTTCAAGTCATTAAAAAAAAAAGACGAGGGAAAGGTCGGTCATTTAAAACTCAACAAACTTAAAATAAAAACATTGTATTCCTTTATTCTCTTGGATTATACACAGTCACTTATGTTTGTGTCTCTCAAACGCACAGAAATGCATGATGTTTTGATTCTGGATGTCTAATGTCTGTATCACAGGATCGCACTGACTTTTCATTGACTCTAAATTCAGAATAATTTGTTTTCAAAATGTAGTTTCCAATGTGGGCCTTTGTGTGCAGTACCTGAGAGCAACAGCAGAGGGCGCTGTTCCCTTTCTCTCCACACCAGCAGACCTGTGCTCACATGTGCTCAGAAAGGATTGTTCAGAACCACTTTACTATATTCACTTACAAACATGTGAAAGTGGGGCGTGCTGTTTGGACCTGTGTCGCCTTTTCAAAATAAAAATGACATTTAACAGATTACAGATGTTTTACTGATTTACCCAACTCAGATCTGTGGAGAGGAGAGCCACAAGCACATACAGCATGCAGCAGACGTCAGCGGGAGCAGATGGCCCCACTGCTCCATGTTGATAGTATGGAGCGATTTTAAAATGACCAATAAAAGATTCACAACTTACAGTCAAACCTGCCGTACAACACATGTATATGAATTATTTTAAGATAAGATGAGAGATCCTTTATTCGTCACACAGTGGGGAAATTTCAGTGTTGCAGCGCACAGACAGTAGTAGGGCACACAGGGAGCACACAAAATATACAATAAAAGCTGCTGTGTTTCTTAGCTAGATTATAAATATGTCTGACCTGGTTTAGTCCTGGTCTAAACCAGGTCCAAACCAGGACTAAACCAGGTCTGAACCTGGACTAAAGCAGGAATAAACCAGGATTGGATCAGGATTGTTTTTTGTTGATTTAAACCATTGTATTTCACAGTTCCCTCAGCCACCAACTCATTTAGTCAGACTTGACCCAATATAGAAATGTCACATGTCATTTGGAAGTTCAGAATCTTCAGAATTCACTTGTTGGATCTAAAGTATGTGCAAAATTATAAGATAAGATTGACTTTGTTGATCTCACACTGGAGGAACAAATGAATATTCAGAGAGTTTTTGAGCTCTGAATCTAATCTAAAGTTCTGCAACACATACAGACACACACAAACATCTCCCAGTAGTTCTCACTGCTTGAGACTAAAATGTAATGCCAAATTCTTCTCCCCTAAAATGCATTTCTGGGAATGACAAAACACATGTGCTCGTACAGAGAAGCTCAGGCTTTTGGTTTCACTCCCGCTCGACATGAAACCCTCTCAAACAGGAGACACCACCTTCAGCAGCGGCCAACACTGTTATTTCACAGCAACGTTCAGACTAGAGGCGTTCCTGATTGGGTCCTGGTGGCTCGTCCTGCCCATGCACTCATTTACATATCAGTATTTAAACCTGTGTCACTGGTCAGAGCAGTTCCTCGTCTCCGCAGCAGAGGAGTTCAGACTGACGCAGTGAGTTTTTCTGATTATTCACATTGAAATAACACAGTAATGTGATGAACAACTTTAAATGTGTGTTTAAGATGATAAAACTATCATGTTATACTGTATTGTTTCCTAACTTTAGCTCTAGTGTCGTTGGAACGGCTCTGTTTGAATCTGTTCCTACAGGGAGTAAAGACGTTTCACTGCTTTATAAACTGGATCAATCTTGTTGTAAAAAACAGGATTCAAATGTTATGGACATGTTGAATAAATATTGTTATTTGAACACCACACAGTTATACAATAGCACTGTTATTAATCTTTTTCATACAGTCGATGGTGTAGATACAGATCTAAGCCACAGCCCTTTCCCCGGTGACTTAGATCTGCATCGAGAATTTTCTCCAGCGCCATTTTCTGTCATGGAAAAGAAGATGGCGTCTGTAGGGCAATGTGGTCTGAGGTCCTGTCAAACTTTCAGGTTCTTCACTTCTTCCTGGGTGAAAGTTTATGGAACAGAGACCAGATTAGAATGTTTCTTTGTGGAGTGTTGGAAATGAAACGCTTATGTTTAATAAGACTATCAATATTAGTAGTTTGTCACCACTGCGTTTGGAGTGAAATATCATATCAAACTTTATTACAGACTCAAGGTCCAGGATAAGACAAACACACATCACATAAAAACACAAAACAACACATATAATCACAACAATAAGCCTCACTTCTCAGAGCAAACAGCTGTACCAGTGTCTCCACAGATCTGACTGGTACCGCGTGGCACTGAATTTGACATTTGTCAGGCTTATGACAATAAAATTCTGGCTTTCATTGAGCCGACGAATAAAACTGTACATCAGACATTGCATGGCGGCCTGAAATGTCCTTATTCCAGCTGACACAAAGTGCTTGCACTTTCCCATCGTGGCTTTTTCAATAAAATCCTCAGGCAGTCATTGTGTGCCACATTGAGTTTGCGGATGGTTGCTTTTTTGTATTTGGTCCATAAGTGTGCCGTGTATAAAGACGTACAGTATGCTTTAAAAAGTGTCTTTTTCACCTGCGCTGTACAGGCACCAAACTTGCGCACGAGCATGTTGGCCTGAGCGTACATCATACGACATGCCTGTGAATGTCGTCATCGTCAGACAAGTCATCACAAATAAAATTTCCCAAGTATTTATATTTGGAACATACACCAAGTTCAACACCACACAATATAAATTGGGGAAAGTTTACATTTATGTCATCTTTAGTTCTACATAACATTATCATACTTTTGCTTGCATGATACCTTACATCATAATCCACACCATACTTAGAGCAGACATTGAGAAGGTCCTGTAGACCTGCACTACTTGGGCTGAATACAGCAAAGTCATCCGCATACATCAGATGATTCACTTGGATTGGCCCAATCATACAGCCCGTTTTACATGCACTAAACTCTAAGGACAGATCATTCATATACAGGGAGAATAAAACAGGAGAGAGAATTCCTCCCTGCCGGACACCATTACTAACAGAGAATGGATCCGACATGGATCTACCCCATCTCACCTGCATTACCTGATGGGCATACCAGTATACTAAAACTCTCACAATATAACGAGGCACCCCTCTCTCGTTCAGCTTTGAGAATAATTTCCAATGATTTACCCGGTCAAATGCTTTTGATGCATCAATAAAACACAGAAGAACAGATGATTTTTTACTTTTATATTTTCTTATTATTTCCTTGAGAGCAAATATGCATAAATCTGTACCATGTTTAGATTTAAAGCCAAACTGGTTGTCTGTGGAGCAGATATAATCTTGTAATCGAGATAACAGTATTTTCTCCAAGACTTTAGACAATATGCTTGCCAGTGCGATTGGTCTATAATTGTCCAAACTACCCATTCTACCAGCTTTATCCTTTATGACTGGGACAAGCGTGACAGAGAGAAGTGAATCTGGGAGGATTCCATGTGTCAAACAGCTAGAGAAGCAAATGGCCAGCAGAGGACATAGTCTTTTGCTGGCATGTATCAGGTGCTCAGCATAAATGTTATCAGCACCACAGGACTTATTAGCCGGTAACTTTTGAATTGCTTAAGATAAGATAAGAATTCCTTTATTTGTCCCACATTGGGGAAATTTCGATGTTGCATCGCACATATAGGACAGTAGTAAGAGCACACAGGGAGCACACACAATATATACAAATAAGTATTAGCTATGTTTCTTAGCTAACATAACTAGCTGTAGATGCTGAAAATGCTTCAATACCAGTCAAAAGAAATATATGTAGTAGTAGTGCAGTTATATATTGTACAGTTAAATAGTGCAGGATAAT